GAGAGAGAGAGAGAGAGAGAAGTAAAAGAAGAAAGAAATTAGTTTTTAGAAAATATAAAATATAAGAATGCATAAGAAGAAAATATTAGAATACATAGAATAATCAAAATTATTTTTAAGAAATAAAAAATATTAAAAATTTCTATTCTTTTTTAATTTATGATTAATTCTTCTTATCCATTTTTCTTTGCATTACAAAGGATTTTTCTATACAATTTTCAAAATGAATAATAGTATGAAACACGTATATAAATATTTATCTCCTGTTGCTGTTAATATAGGATTATTTATCATATACATATTATCATATTTATTTATCATATGTTTTACCATATTAATTTTTTCGTCTTACATGACACTTATTTTTCCTTTGGTACATACAGCATACATTAAGTATTATAATTTAAAAATATTTCACCTAATTTCAGAATTTGAAATAAAATATCTAATACGAAATAGATAAAAAACAAAATTATTTATGAATTTAGAAAAGTTTTAGATTAATCTTAGATAATAAATTTTTTTAGATTATGATTGATATTGCTATTATTTTATTTATCAATTTAATATTTTTACATTTATTAATTTTTATTTATTTATTTCAATTTCGATTAATTACAAAAGGAAAAGGAAAGTTTCCATTTTCTATATCAATACATTATTAACAGATTAATACATGCAAAAAAAGTTATTTTTACTTTACTTTGTATACAATACATATTCAAACAATAATGCAGTATTTATTTCTTTTCAATAACTAAATATTTAATTTTTAATTAATCAGTTATAATAATTACTTTAAAATATTATTTTGAATTTAATTAATTAACTGATTTGTTGGTATTTATTTATATCTATGAATAACTTATTATTGAAACTAAATTATATTGTCAAATTTGTAAATTGTTACACTTTTAATTATTTTAAAAATATATACGAAATGATAATAAATCAATAAAAATTTCTTAAGCTTAAAATTATTCAAAGAACACAAAAAATGACTGAGTAGGGAAAAAGAGAGAAAAAAAAAAGAGAAAAAGAAAGATATGTTTGACCAATAACAGTCGCATAATATATGCAATGAACACATTACATTCAAAATTTTATATAGTAACAGTTAACATTAATTATTTATATTTGTTATTATTAATCGTTCAATAAAAAAAAAAAGAAGTTAAATAAGACCAATAGGTTCAAAAGCCGCATTACTCTAATTATCTGCAATATCACAGTACTTGCTGAAACATACAAATACACGTTTCCAATAGGTACAAAAGCCAATACCAAAATGGCAAGCACAATATTTTTTTTCAATAAACATAATATATATTATCTAGCCATCGATCGCTTTCTTTCTTTTTTCTTAATTTGTAATGATCACAAAAATTCGTAGCTATTATATTCAGAACATGATATATCTTATCAAAAATTAATTCCATATCTTTCTTAAAAATTTTTTGTATTTTTTTTTGTTTTTTATAATAGAGAATTTAGTAATTCCATTTTATATTCTTAAAATTTTTCACATTATATTATAATAAAAAAAATTTATAGAAATTATATTGCAAGAAAATGTGATAAATGCCCATAAATTTAAATTTTATAATTATAAATAATTTCATCTTCGAACTAATATCGTAGTTCTAATAGTTCTCAATTAGGAAAACTTGCCTTTCCAAAAAAGAGTGAACTCAACGATCTTGCGAATAAAATAAAAGAGAAAGAAAAAGAAGTATAAAAGAGCAGAAAAAAGAAAACAAATTAGAAAAAAAAGAATATGATATGTTATCGAAATTAAGGAACAAACGCGAGGGTTTTTGTTTTACGACTAATCATTATTCTTTTTTTTTCTTATGTAAAACAACGTAATGTATGCTACGTACATACACGGATTTATATGTACGCGCGCACGCATATATGTTCATCCCATCTCCTCATATACGCACACAGGCGCGTGCGCGCACGCGTACATAATAACGATTTAAAAAAAATTTTTATAATTCATATTATCCTAACTATTCGTCGATCCAGAAGAAATTCTTTCGGATAATATTTACAAATATAATTTTTTTGTAATAAAACATACGAAAGATTCCATTATCATCGACTTGGCGAATACAAAAATTTCTAAAGCTATTGTCATACATAAACTGGACCTTGATTGTCATTATCGTCCAAACTTATTCGACTAGGATATGCAGGACCTCCACCATCATCAAAGAAGCGTCTAAAGGTAAATTCAAAGAAACCATGAAATGGTTTACCATTATCTAATAATTCATCGGATTTATTAGAATCGGACGATTCTGAATTTCGTAATTTATCAGGATCCACGGGATCAAAATTACTTGTATCCGTAGGATATTGTATCCGAGGTATGTGAGGAGCTACTTGCCGTCGTAGTCCCTTTTCAAAATCGATGTTCGCAAAAAATGGATGATTCTTTACTTCATCTGCATTCTTACCTAACCGACGATCTGCACCAACACATAATTTTAATATTAAATCCATACCTTCCGCGGAAAGATTCGCTTGTTTCGGAATATGCAAAGTCGTTTCCCAATTGATTACCTGTGATATACAATATATTTTAATACTGTATACAAATTATATTTCATAATAAAATAATAAATTAATAAACATTAAACTTACTTTATATTGGGTTTCAGCTGGAGTATTAGCAAGAAATGGTGGAGAACCAACTAACATTTCATATAAAATCACACCAACACTCCACCAATCACACAATTGAGTGTATCCTGTCCTTTGTAGTACCTCTGGTGCAATATAATTTGGTGTTCCAACCAAGGAATGAGCTAAGCATCTTTGATGTTCTCTATGTCTTCTACGTTCCAATGGTTTCAATTGGATACAACGACATTCATTATTCCAATCGTCAGCAGGATCCATTGAATCTTGTTTTCCATGTCCTGTTTTAATAACAACATCGGTATAATTGCGCATATATATATATATATAATACACATATAGAACTTGAGAATAAATCAATCATGGACACATACCATTTTGTTGATAATATTTAGAATTATGAGTCCAACGAAATCCTGTACATAGGCCAAAATCTGTTAATTTTATGTGTCCATCTCGATCAATTAAAATATTGTCTGGTTTAATGTCTCTATGAATAAAACCCATTTTATGAACACTTTCTACAGCGCACGTTAATTCAGCAATATAAAATCTTGCCAGAGGTTCCTTAAAAATGCCAAATTTAATCAACAATGACATCAAGTCTCCACCTGGTATATAATCCATTACAAAATATAAATTGTCCTTATCTTGAAAGGAATAATAGAGTTTTACAACCCATTCATTATCAGCCTCTGCTAATATATCTCTTTCAGCTTTAACATGAGCAACTTGATTACGATTTAACACATCTGCCTTCCTTAAAGTTTTCATAGCATAAAATTGATTGGTATCAAGTTTTCTAACAAGTGTTACTTCTCCAAAAGCACCAACTCCAATTGGTTTGATTTTTGTAAACATTGACTTATCCATTTTTGCTCGTTTCAACCGAATGTAATTCGATTCCTTTTGTGATAACATTTTTCTCATTTGACATTGAGCTTCTGCACTAAGACCTATTTTAGCCATTTCTGTTTCTAATTGAAGACGACGATATAATCGTTGTTTGTGAGATTTTAATACATTTTCAACATGCTGTTCCATAAAAAATTTAAAAGCCTGTGGAGAATAATTACGAACTTTACAATCTCTACGTTCTTCTTCTTTTTCTTTACTCATATGTTTACGTTCAGGTATCGGAGACTGATGTTTGATTTTATAAGATGAAGGTGATGAACCAGCTCCTTTTGCTCCATTGTCGGGTGAATGATTATTATTATTATTGTTGTTATTATTATTGCTATTGCCGCCATTGCTACTGTTGCTATTGTTATTGCTGTTGTTGACATTGTTACCAATGTTGTTATTAGTTCTTAAGGGTATTGTCGTGGATGTTACTGGAGGTAAAGGTGGAGCTTCTGTAGGATGTTGACATCCATCTGCAGGTGAATATTTTCTTTGCAATGGAGGATGTAAAGCAACTGGAGATGATCTAAGGGTTGTATTATTGTCTATCGTTGATATACAATTAGAGTCTTCAGTAGCTGTTCCATAGGGGGGAGGAGGTACTGGATGATGCATTCCTCGTTGTGCCGCTAATGCTTGCATCGTTGTCGCATAACTTGGTGGTTCTGTAGTGGGTACTCCTACAGAAACACCAACATTTATATTGTTCGTTGAGGTTGTGCCAACACTATTCACTGGTGGATATGCAGGAGGTGGTGCTTGCGAGGATTGTTGTTGTTGCTGCTGCTGTTGTTGTTGCTGCGGTTGTGGTTGTTGTTGTTGTTGCTGCTTTTGTTGAATAGACGATGCATAAGATGGTGGAGGTGGTGGTGTGTTACTAGTAGTTGAAATTGGTTGTGGAGAAGTCGGTGCAATTGCAGTTTGTAACACAGGTTTTTGTACTTGTGTACTCTTAACAGATTGCATAATGATTGGTGGTTGTGTTTTTGCTTGTCGTGCACCCCAAGCTTGCAATGGAGTTGGTCTAGCCATAGATGCTTGTGTACTTGGTGATATAGCAGAAACGGTAATTGGACTTGGAGAGCCGGCCGATGTTGGGCCAGAATAGATTCCAGAAGAAGGACTTTTGCGATAATCTTGCTGAGATTGTGTAGGACTTTGTCTATTTTGTATAGAGGCACTGTAAGACGGTGGTTGTACCGGGCCAGTCGACGAGGAAGAAACAATGGGATATGGTGGTGGCGGTTCGACTTGAGTATTAGTATTGTTGTTGCCAGTTTGATAAATACTAAGAGCTTGCATTTGCTGAGAAAGTTGCTGTTGAACTTGCGGACCATTTTGAACGATCATAGGTTGGCGACAATTCGAATTATTATTAGAACTTGCTACTGGACTTGTACCTCTTTGCGGTAGATTAACTGATGTTGATATCGGACCGGTATTACCAGGTGTAGTAGGAGGAGGTCGCGTTGGAACCACCGGAGCAGGAGACATTCGTTTAAGCATTTGTTGCATATTAGTAGGTACGTTTGGCTGATTATATGGAGCATGAGGTGGTGGAGGTGGAGGTGGTGTAGAGCTACATCTAGGAGGTGGAGGAGGAGGTGGTTCTCGTTCTACGAAATTGCTTGGAGAGTATTGTCGGCTCAATTGCGGATGTGGGCTAAGTTCCGCTAGACGAGGACTATCGGATCGTGAACTTCCTGCTCCACTATCCAATGCAGGACTACCTCGTTGTAAACTCAATTCTCTTTCCAAACTAGGTTTTCTTATTAATTTGCTGTTAAGTTTGCCTAGACCATTTAGAGATTCTCCCTGAGCTTGCTTCAAGAATTCTATAGCCGCATCTAGACGCCAGCCAGCTAATTTCAATGCACGCAATGCAATTTCCTATATATACATAATATCAAATTTTAATAAATAGTCAAGCTTAAAATCCATAATAATACACATACCTCTGAATACCCCATTGCTAATAGCTGAGCTAACAATTGTCGTTGATCAGATTTATCAAGAGTAGATCCTGAAGCTGTAGAGAGACCACTAAGTCCTGAAGCAGAACTAATGCCACTGGTCGTAGATAAAGTAGATATAGTACTAGCAGCACTAGAACCTACTTCGCCTGCACCTCCAATATTTGCAAAAGGTAGTAAAGAATTGCGAATTTCAGCTAAAGCCTTTTGATGATATCCAGAGCCACGAGTGCTCGATTTGCTAACCGTGGGTGGATTCATAGTGGCCCATGCTAGGCCTTCTCAGACCTAGCTTTAATCCGGCTGTGACATATATATATATATATACATACATCTAAAACATAATATCAAGTTATTTTCTTACAATATTGTAACATTTTTATATTTTACTATCATATTTACTATAAAATATTTTTAATAATTATTTTCATATTTGTAAAATTAATCAATTGATTAATTTTAATCATATAAATTGTTTTATACTATATAATATTCATAAAACTGATTTAATTAATATATTTTATGTATTTTTACATTGTCATTAATAATTTTAATATATCATTAATATAAAAAATACAAACATTATTTGAACATAAAAAATACAATATTCATTATTTGATAATTCTCTATTGAAATATTTGCATTCTATACATGATAAAATAATGTTAATATTAATAAATCACTAAATGTTAAGATATATGTTACAAATTTTAAATGACTTTTGTATCACTTTACTTAGTTTAATTATGATTTATATATAATAAATTTTATTTGAAAATTTAATTTCAATCATAGAATGCAAACAGCTTTATGTGTAATCTTATACATGATTTTTTACATCTTCGTACATAAAGATAAGATCCATCAAAAATCTAACCTATTCATTAGATGCGTGACGGATTAATCCAATAAGTTCTTTATACATAAAATGAGCTATAATAGCACACACTTTCTTTAGAAATCAGAAAACATTAGATAAGATTTTTCTTGAAATAAGTTTAACTGAAATAGCAATCAGGAGAGAACGACTTCAGAGCATATTCTATTCTCACGTTTCTACAAAATCCATGTGACAAGATTGATGTACACATAAATCTTCTAATTCACTATTTTCCCTTAAAAATAATTCTATAGTATTCCAATATACAGTCGTAATTACTTCAGCAACAACAAAGAAAGGTACAGCCGTAAATTACTAAAGTAACTGGCAGCCATTTTGAAGTGCCACATTCCTACACCGACTTGACACTCTTTTTCGTAATTTACGATATGCACCAAGTTCGTGCGCGAAAAAACAAATAGCACTTTGCAATTAATATAAAATATATTTAACAAATAATGTTTATTATTTAAGAATATAAAATTTGATTCTGGAAATATTATATTTAAGAAAAATCAAATATTTAAAAATTTATTTAATGTTTTAAAACTATCTCGTCCAACTAAATGTGAATGTCAACATTATATCAGTCGCTTCTTTTCTCTAAGTTGAGAGTTATTTCATATATATTTAATTAATATTTAAAACTATTTAGAGACAGTTAAGATTAAAAAATTTTTTTCTTGTTCCTTTTCAAATATTCATCATATTTTTATAATGCTTTTATGATTTTAATAATTAATTATACTTAAATAACAAGAAAATATGAGTGAAAATTTTTTTTCATTCACATTTAAGTTTGCTAAACGAAATTTATAGTTAAAGAAACATTATATTTCATATATTCATTTTATATAATTGAATTATATGAATAGATAAACTGAAAAAAATAGAATTAATAAAATTATTTATATTAATTTATTCGATTATAATTTAATGTGAATGTAAAAATATATGTATATATATATATAATTTTTTTTAATATATATTACATATAATGAAATATATATACACATATATATGTTACAATAAAAAAGATTGTATAAATATAATTGAATCTAAATAATAAAAAAGAATAAAATTTATTCAAATCAAATCTAATTTTTTAGTATACATATTATTATAGATATATTAAAATTTATAATGAAATTTGAATCAATTTTTAATATAATTACAATTTAATATTTTTATTAATTAAAAAATTTATATATAACTGCAAATATTATATATATATTATAATTCATTATTTATTACTTTATATTATATATACTTTATATATTTATATTATAATATACTATGTAATAATTATTATATAATTTATTTACATATTTATTTATATATACATATTTATCATCTTAAAATCAGATGCAGCGTTCGAATTTTGAAAGTTTACATTAGCTTTCTTATATTAAGATCAATATATAAAAATATAAATATATATCAAATCAAAAAAATATAATAATTATCAATAAAATGCACTTTACTAATACATAATTTATTTAGTATATTCATTATGTATGATATTTTTATTGCTCTGTACTAATATTCCTCTGTATTAATATTAATATTTCTTGTATATTACCTATATATATAGTTATATATAAATGTACATTTATTATACATACATAATAGATGCACACACGCATACACGCACACACATCACACACATATATACGCACGCACGCGCGCGCGCACACATCTTGTTTATTTGAAATAAAAAAAAAGTATTATATATTTCTTAATTAATAAAATAAAAATTTGTTTGAATAATAAAATATTTATATAACTTTAGCTTAAAATAAAATAATTTAAAATAAATAAATATGATTTTAAAAAATTTACTTTTTAAAACAGATATGACAAAGTTTTTGTAAGGTCATTAACCATTATAATAATTGTATTCATTTCAATATCATATATATACATATACATACGTGTATGCATTCTAATTAGCTTAAATTAACATCGATGTTGTCATGATCATGATATTAGCATTAGTTTATATGAGGAAATCTTGTTTTTCATTGTTTTCATATAATTAATATACGTTCATCAATATTGTATTAATAAAAAATATTGATATTTATATATAAATATAACAAACAATTATAACTAGTAATAATTAATCAATATTTTACATTTCATTGTCATGTAAAATCTATCAAATTTGAATTAAAAATAGTATCAATATGTTATGTATCATAAAGTATAGAAATAAAATTTCATATAATTTTATGATATAATGAGATTATAAAATTAACGTTTAAAATTATAAATTAAATTTGGATTATAAAAAAAAAGTAACATTTTCTTTCAAGAAATCAAAAACAAAAGTATATTAAATATTTAACGTTTAAAACAGAAGAAAGCTATTATTATGGTAGCCCATGTTATGTGTTTAACCTCTACTGGAGGAATTCCTTTATTTTCTCGTCAAAAAGGAGAAGGAGATACGGTAATATTTATATGATTATAAACGAAAAAAAATGTAAATTATATGATATTAATTTTAATTTTTTTTTAATAAAACTATAGATGACATTTTCAAAAATAGCATCTCTATATGGGATACATATGTTTCTTAAATCACAAAACATTAAACTTTTAAATACAAATTTACCCGATACTATGATAATGTGGAAAGAGTTTGAGCAAAGTATTACATTAATAGTTATTGCAAGTGGAACTACTAAATCTGTATTGGAAAAATTTCTTAATGCTGTTTTCGGTGCAATGATTTTATTTGTTGGTATTGAAGAATTAAAAAGTACAAAAAATATTGAAAAATTAAAAAAAGATATCCGTTTATGTAATCCAATTGTTGATAGTTTATTGGAATGTCTTGATGTTGGTGATGGAATTTGTTCAAAAACTGATATTATCAATATGACAGAATGTATAATGTGTCAAGAAAATAATTTATTTCAGGTAACTAAAATTTTTTAAATTAAAAAGTTTTCTGTATGTTAAATAATAATCTATTTAAGACATGCTTAGAGGGTTATATGGAATGTCTGGATTCTATATATGGATGCATTTTAATACATGGATGTTTAGCAGTAGCTACAGAAGGGTGGTGGAATTTAAATCCTATTGAAAGAAAATTATTAATTACAATTGTAAATACAGAGGATACTTATACCACACGAGACATTCCAGTATTTTTACCTTATAAAAGTCCAAATGTGAGTATATTTCTTGTTTTTAAAACATATTTTTAATATAATATTTTTATTTTTTAATTTAATGAGATTTATTTTAAAAAATTATATCACGCAATTTATTATAAGAGATCATATATATAGGTAGCTTTTAGATTAGTATCCATTACATTAGTCAATCAAGTTGAAGTATTAGCCTTATGTGGACCAAATCCAGATTTATCAGAGATTGAAAAACTTGCTGTACAATGTTGGAAGAATAGTATTGATGCTTTACGCAATGCAGAACAATGCTATCCACGAAATTTACCTTTATCTATAAATTTAGATACAGAAACGCTTGGGTAATAGAAATATTAATATGTAATATAAATAATTTCATTTAAAAAAATATATTATCAAAATATATTATAATATTCTTATTTTTTTTTATAAATTTAGATTTCTTTTAACAAATTATAAAGCACAAAAATTTATTCTTGGTAAAAATATGCAATATGCAAAGAACAGAGTCAGTTCTCACAGATTGGATATATTAAGAACATTTTATCATCAAGCTGTTGAAACTTATATATTATCTTCAGAATCTGAATATAACTCATCAAATGATAATTGGAAATTTGTGGGTGCAAAAGAAACTTATTTATGTTCAGAATATCATAAGTGCTATGCAGTTAAAGATGGTGATCATATACTTTGTATTTTATGTACCTCTACAGTTCCTACTCATACAGTAAGAATGATTTGTCAAAAAATGTTAAAAGCATTACTTATTGATAAACAAGGATGTTGGTAAAAATTTAATGTCAATCCCTTTTTAATATCATTTCATTTTGTATAATATACTTTTTTGTTATTGTCATATTAATTCACTTTTGTATCCTAATATTGTTTTTATTACTTATAAACAAATATTATAATAATAAATATTAAAATAATAAATAATACAAAAAATTAATAGAAATAAAGATATAATATGATAATTATTTGTAAAATAAATGAAATTAATTATTAATGAGATTGAATGAGATCATTTCCTGTTTAGTAATTTCAACTTTTCAATTTAATCATTCATTGCAACATATTCAGTGTTCGTTCATATTTAATAAATGCGCACGCGCTATTGATTTACTTGTGCAATATGTGACCCTAGATGATATACAATATAGAGAACCTAACTACAACAATATTTGATGAAAGATTTCGATAAAATATTAGTTAAGTAATCAGTTAATGAAGTAATTATTACACAATTATATAAATTTAAAAATATTATGAAATATATATTTTTTTACATTTTAATAAACAATTCATAAATTGACTATTACTTAAACAATTAATACTGATAAAATTGATATTTAACGATGAGTAGTATAACAAAAATTGCATTTGAAGTACAATTGTATAATACAACAAACTTTTATATAGGGTTAAGTTTAGCAATTAGTTCTAGTATTTTTATAGGTTAGTTTATATTACAATTTTAATTAGATATTTATTCAAAATAAATATTGTGCAGTATTATAATTATTTAGGAGCTAGTTTTATTATTAAAAAAAAAGCATTGATTCGACTTCAAAGACGCGGAGCACTACGAGCTTCATCCGGAGGATTTGGATATTTAAAAGAATGGATGTGGTGGACTGGTTTTCTATCAAGTATATAAAATAAAAAGTAATTATTTAATACATCTAATAAATATCTTTATTAAGAAAAATATTATTTTTTTAAAGTGGGAATAGGAGAAGCAGCAAATTTTGCTGCTTATGCATTTGCACCGGCATCATTAGTAACCCCTTTAGGAGCACTTAGTGTTTTAATATCTGCAATATTAGCATCAAAATATCTACATGAAAAACTTAATTTGCTAGGAAAGGTAACAATATAATATTACAAGAGATATTATTATTTATAATTTTCATATATAATATGATTTTCTATTAGAATAATTGATAAATACATTTATTATTATTGCAGATTGGTTGCCTTTTATGCATCTTGGGTTCTACAGTTCTTGTAATTCATTCTCCAAAGGAAGAAGAAATTAGTACATTAAATGAGCTTGTAGATAAGGTTAAGGATCCAGGATATATTGTTTATATATTGACTGTGATAATATGCAGTATTTTAATTATTTTTTATTTTGGTCCTATATATGGAAAACAAAATATCATAGTATATATTTGTTTATGTTCATCTATTGGTTCATTGACTGTTACAAGTTGTAAAGGATTGGGATTAGCTTTAAAAGAAACTATTTTTGGATTTAGTAATGGATTTTCAAATTGGTTAACATGGGCTTTTTTATTTAGTGTTATACTTTGTGTTAGCATACAAATGAATTATTTAAATAGATCACTTGATTTATTTGAAACTACAATTGTTACACCTATTTATTATGTATTTTTCACAACATTAGTAATAATCGCATCTGCTATATTATTTAAGGAATGGGAAAATATGAGTGCTGAAGATATTTTAGGCTCATTTTGTGGTTTTTTAACTATAATAATTGCAATATTTCTGTTAAATGCATTTAAAGAAATGGATATATCTTATGAAAATATTAGACGTATGTTACAACCTAAACGAAAATTATTCATAAATAATATTAATCAATGGAATAACAGAGATGAGGAAAGATTAATAACTAGACTGGAAACAGAATTAAATCATACATATGGAGCTCAAGCTTTAACAAGAACTATATAATTCTATAAATATATAAATATATAAAATATATAAAATATAAAAATATGAATAATTTTTGTATTAAATTCAATTTATGACTGTATAAATAATATAAATAACTGTATAATTATACTTACTAGATAATAGATATTAAAATAAATTTAATTAATATTCATAATTATAAATATAATCAAGCTTATAGCTCGAAAATCTGCTTCATTGTGAAATCTAAAATATAAATTTTTCGAATTATTTTATTTTTGTAATTCGAATTTAAAATATCTTACAAATTATTTACAAATTGAAGTTTCTATTTATAAATAAAACTTTTATTTTATATCTCTGTATAATTCGAAATATATAACACAATCGTAAATATAAAATACATAATCAAAATATATATATCATAACCTATTATAGTAACCATTCGATATTTTTTTTTTTAAATGTTAGAAATGTTGTTTGAATACTTTAAAATAAGAAAATTCATGAATTTTCCTTTTTTTTCAATTCTTTTAATTGAAAAAAATATTTTTATAAGTTTTTATATAATAAAATATAATTTTTCTTTTCTGAAATTCGTAATTCGAACATTTTTGTTTTATCCTTAAAATTCAAATTATTGAACTTCAATTATATTATTCTGTTTATTTATTTATAATTCTATTCCTTATTCATAAATCAATTTATCTATATCTATTAAATTAAATTAAATACTACTATGTACAGTTATAATGGCGTTCACTTTGGCTACTTTTTCATACATCGTAGCTTTAATTATTGATGCATTTTTAATAATTTTTACAATATTTCATGTACGTGCCATTTTCAAGCCATAATGATTACTTTTGAAATAAAATAATAAAAATATGTATATAACTGTTCTATATGAATATTATTGCTAACCTTAGCATTATAGATTTTTCATTATAGAATGAAAATGATTTTTGTTAAAAATATTATATTTTTCAGATTACTGCATTTGATGAATTAAAAACTGGCTATAAAAATCCCATTGAATAATGTAATAATTTAAATTCGGTAAGATTCTGAAATTAGCCTTTTATAATATTATTGTATGAAGTAATAATGATAAATTATAATTATAATTAAATCATATATATATATATATATATATATATATATATATATATATATATATAT